GCTGGTCGTAACCCGAAAGGTTCGTTAGTAGAGGCGTTCGTATCCCGAGGTACCACTGTAATTTCGAGTTGCCACTAATTTGAAAATGTGCTGTTACTGATTTTTCCTATTAAAATTTAAAATTAATTGTATATTAGGTAATTGTGACACCATATATATATTTTGAATAATTTATTAGACATTAATAACTGGTAGCTCTGTTATCTCCTAGTTATTCAAAAAAAAGGGAGCATAGAGGTGACAGCCTATCACTTTAAAGAAGTCAGTCTCTCTAGTGGCCCTTTTCAGAGTTGCTTTCTAAAAAAATGTAAATTTTTGACAAGAAAATTCTTTAGCAGTGATTTTCAGAAACTTACCTAGATCTAGCTACTGATTTCATGTAGTATCCAGAGTATTCATCTGGATGTTGATGGAAAAGATATGAAACAGACTTTTTTTTTTAGTGGAGTAACACTGAACAGATCAATTAATGCTAGCTGAAATCTTGAATTGTTTCTGAGAATCAACTAGTATATTTCATAGTTGCCAGTGACTGAACATTTAAATTTAAATTAAATTAAATTAAATTAAAATTTATATAAACATTTAAGTAAATGCCGAACATTGTAGTTTTACTCACATTCTTTCTCACAGAATGTCTCATTGCATATTCTAGCCACTTATTTTAAAAGGATACTTTATCAGTATTGAGTAGTTCTTGTATAGCTTCTAATTTGGCTAGAAAAAGTTTTTAGAGGTCTTGTAGTGTATGAAAATAGGACATTCCCTCTCATGTAGTGCAATATAGGCTATAAGCATCAGTGGATTCCTATTTTCCATCAAAGGGCAACATCTTGGGCCACATGGAATTCTGTTCCAGAGTCTTCTAATTTGCAAAAACATATTTGTGTGTGTGCAAAAAACTGATAAAAATGGTGCATACACCACTCAAACTGTATTGGATTGTGCTTTTACTGGGTTTAAGGGAGAAAAAAACATTATAACTTAGTGTATTGTCGAAGGCTTTCACGGCCGGCATAGGATGGCTGGTGTGGGTCTTCCGGGCTGTGTGGCCGTGTTCTGGAAGTTTTGTTTCCTAACGTTTCCTGGCTACCAATCCTGAAAAATACAGCCTGCAAAAGGTCAACGAAGTCAGCTCAACCACCAGGACATGTGAACA